TGTTGGGGGACCGCCACGCATGAAGCTGGCTGAGCAGACGACCAAGTCCATGTCTGCTGTCGGGAGGTACAGACCGGACATGAAGGAACCGAAAGGATGAACGGACGCGCTGGCAAAGTTACGTCCATCGCGGCGCATAGCCTTGCGGAGGTTCTCGACGAGGTTATCGCGAATGCGCTGTTCAAAGTCGCGGGGTCTAACATAGTCATAAAAGTCCATAACTTCTTTGTGTAGTCTGCAGAGGTCAGCATTGTGGGGTTGACGGGAAACTGCGACAAGCAGCATGCGAGGATAGCAAACTTACCGGAATCCCATGCTAGTAGTGGCAGTATGATCGACAGTGTCCCAAGGACAGGGATCCTCGGTGGCCTTGGGTTGCCAGCTGGGTAGCAGTGAACCCTTTGAGGGCTTTGTGGTGGCCTTCTTCAATTGCCCGTAATCGGGGGGCTTGATGATGTCGTCCGCAGTACGTTTACGAGAACCCAAGCCGTCGTTTGCCAGTCTTCGAGCCTCCATTATATCGTCATTAGGCGCCCGCGCCTTGTCGAGATCGGCTCTTGGTCCAGAGGGTGCGTTCGGTGGAGGTGGCGGCGGTTGTTCGATGGTGGGAGGAGGACCACGGGGAGGAGGTGGTGGCGCATCTTTTTGTTCCTCTTCCTCCTCATCACTAGCCTCCTCGTCCTCGTCCTCGGTAAAATCGAAGGAGATGAAATCCTCAGCTTCCGTTGAGGCAGCGAGCTTACCCGTCTGGTCCTCGAGACGGGCTTTTCGGATGAGCTTAACCATATCCTTCTTCTTGCGCGTGCTTTCATCGGGGCAGGGTAGAGCTGTGTATGGATCAGGGTTAGACCACTTAGGTGCCGCATCGCCTGATGCATCATCGTCATTGTCATCATCATTTGTAGTTCTGGCACGCTTCTTGGAAGGGCCTTCAGCCTCTGAGGACGAAGAGATGTCCATATCGAGCTCGTCATCGTCAGACAGCTGGTCGACATCGCGGAACTTGGCAATACCGTCTTCGCCTAGACGCTCCTCGGGCATGTTCTGTGTCGCGCCTGACACTAGAGCGCGCTCGGAGGGGTGAGGCGGGGGTTGCCAGCGCCTTCCTCCTCTGCCACGACCTCGGCCTCTACCACCATCGCGACGGGGACCTCTTCTATCGGACGGCGGGCCACGATAATCAGAAGGGAATTCTGGCATTCCAGCAGGCTTGTCCATGCGAAATGTGAAGTCTCCCTGGGGCACGCGCGGACGATACGAGTCGCCGCCCGAGTTTCGGAAGTCATCGCGAGGTGGCGGCGGTCGAGGTGGCAGATCATGCCTGTCGCCAGGTCGATAGGAATCCGAGTTTTGGTATGGACGATCTCTGTTGTCGTTCCTCGCAGGGCGCGAGTTGCGCTGGGGTCTTGGTTTGTTGGGCTTGTTGCGCATCGTGAATTTTGGCTTTGTTAGGTCTTTGTGTGGGCGGGATGAAACGATGATGTCGCGAGAAAAAAGAACCTTTCTCGCGATCGCTCAAGTTGGCCCGCGCTAAACTTGATTGGGAGCATTGTGCTGTGTTAGTAAGCAGAGTTCATTCACTGATGTTGATGTGCGTGAGAGATGTATGCAGATTGTATTTGTATTTTTATTGTGTAAACATGATGCAGGAGTTATTTCTTTTATTGATCAAGTTGTTATGCTATGCTGACGCTTGTTGTTTTGATGAATCACAGCTCTTACGCTTTGGCTGCTGCATCAGCATCAATTGCCACCACCTCAATCTCGACCTTCATTTCAGGGACTCCCAATTGCGCGACACCAAGCTGAGTCCAAATGACCTTGTGGTTTGGCATCCATTTCTTGTAATTTTCGGCCATTCTTTGACCAACTTCTGGTGTGATCTCAGTGTGGTACGAATTGACTCGGTAGACTTGCTCCCAGCCTTTGCCACCTCCCGCCTTTAGAGCTGTGGCGACATTGTGGAATGCCTGGTCAATTTGCTCAAGCTGGGTCTCTGGGAATACAAGTTCGCCATCCTTGAGCGTCCAACCACCTGTGATAATTAGCACTTGGTCAATTTATTATTTCTTGTAGAACTAACCTTGTCCACTGATCTCAATGCGATCGCCAACTCGGACGACTTGACTGTAACCAAGTAGGTTGGTGAGGAACTCGCCCGCGCCTTCATATGTGGAATACTTAAGATGAGACATGTTTGTAAAATATTATCGGAGGGGTTTTATGAGCTTGGATTTAGGTTTGACAATGATGAATGTCGTTTTCTGATGAGCTCTACCGACTCTATTATACCCAACAATGAATCCTGACGCGACAACCTAAGGCGAGAGCTTACATGCTGATGCTGACACTTCAAGCTGACATCAAGCATCACAAGAAGCATGGCCAAACCAATAACGTTATCTATAACGTTACGAATATTATTCAGCTCAATTGTTTCCAAATAATCCTTGTTGCTATCGACTATTGTATTTGTTCTCATATGGATCAACAAACATTACCCTCAAGCACAGGGTAGATCCTCTGACCGAGACACGCCAAGACGGTTCAACACAAGAACGAACATGACAAATACTACGGAGATCGGAGCAATTCCATAGAGGAACAACCCGCGCCAATGGTAAGCTTAAATCGCCTCGCTCTCTCAGCTCCCCCGCCTCAATTCTCCAAAAGCCTTGCTGCGTCATTGAACATGTCGCCCATACGCGTGCTTGCTTTAGTGGGCACTCGGAATGTTAGCATCCAGTCTAAGCTCTAGGGTATCCAGTCGCTACATATTGAGGGGATGACATTTTACACCTCACAGCTATGGTGGACGCGAAGGCCAGATCAACACATGGACCGATGCTCCATCCGAGTGACCACTGTCAAATCGTCCAATTTTCAACCATACGACATCGCACCCCAAGTACATAGCAACCCTAGAAAAGGTTACGCATCTGGTTGAGCCTTTCCTCTATCTCTCATTCAAACTCGAGTTCCTGACCAGAACCATGGGGATCCAAAATTCCGACCGCACCAATATTGACACGGGGACGGACCTGTCGTGCGTCAACGTCCATGACCGGCATGTCAGCAGGCAGCGAGTCTTCGGATGTTTGGTCGATCTGAGCGACCGATCGCAAGCCGTCAAAAACTCCAGAAATAGTAGTAGGTTCCTCGTAGATCGAATAGAACGGGTAACTGCAATCGGCGTATGACTTGGCTGTAATTGGAGATGGAGGCAGCTTTTTGCCAGTAACCTGTTCGAAACCGGCGCTGTTGAGAACTTGAACGTTGAACGTGACGGGAACCGACTTTTTGTAGTCGTTTTTCGGGATCCTGAATATTCCTTGTTTAATCGATCCGCCGGCAGCAACATTCATTTCTTTTTGGGGTCTAGGGCCACCACCGTCTCGAAGTCGCTGTACCATGTGCAGCGTTGAACCCTATTGCAAAGACCTATTAGTTAACAGTTTGAATAGGTGTACAAACAGCAAACCTACATCCTCGATCTTGTAATCGGCCAAGATCAGGCCATCTACTGTCTAGTAAGTTTCCACAATATCAAAGTAACAGCCCCCCCCCCCGGAACGAAGCTTAAATACCTTCAAGTTGTCTGCCGGCGTAAATGAGGCGCATTTCAGACGGCCGTACTCCCTGGAAAAATTCCATGCGATGTTTGAGTTGTTCAGTAGTCTCTTGGCGAGAAGTCATGATACGGTGTACTTTGCCCTTAAGCGTTTCTATGTCGATTGTGATTATGTCCCTTTTAGGTGGTTTCGAGCCCAGTCCGGTGATCTCGAACCGAACGCCTGCAGCCTTCTCTGCGCCAGTCATCTGAGCCTCAATCGAGTGACCCGTTCCCACAGGCATGGCGACGAACTGGCGAATCTTTCCCGGCTCGACCGCAACACCATCTAGTCATTCCTGACCGGGAGTAACGATGTAATCCTGCACGCTTCTGTCTTGAAGAATAAGATTCCGGCGGCGGAGTGAAGTGGCGGCGTCCTCCACGCTGGGTTCGCCTGAAACGGCATTGATGCCTCCCACGAAGACTTTGATGGCATAGAGACACTTTGACTCGAAATTGATCCACATTGCCTCTCTCTCTAGGTAGAATGGGTCAGCCAGCATCTTGAACCATGACAGCGCAAACATACGATACATTGGGATAAACAGTCCGCCCTTCTGCGCCATGCTCAGCGGGAGGGTCTCAGCGTAGTCGTCTACTTTGTACAGAGGGAATGAGCCTGCGTCTGGGGGCAAGTTGTTAGTGTCATCGTTGTCCGGGACACGAACTGTTCTTTTGAACGAAATCTCCAGGTCATCGATCTTGACTTTCTTGGTGACCTTGGTGACGGGCGACCACGGTGTTAGATGCTCCGACATCTTGAGGGTCTGGCTGTTGTATCGCGAGTCTCAGTTGTATGGCGTCGGTGTGGTATGCTGCAGTGTCTGAAGAATGAAAGTGAAGAGGAGAAAGTTGTGCGGAGGAAAGATTGATCAAAATAGCCGATTGAAGTGCGAGACCCTGATTCATATTTTCGCAAGTGACAGCCAGCTGGCAGAACTTCAGATTGCATCTGTGCACCACTGTGACTTACCGATCCCATTACTGTTGGGCCAACCAGTTACGACTCGCTATGCAGTTATCCTCCTCGCCGTCATTTCGATGAATGTTTTCTGTATCTGATTATAGAGCGGTTACAATGCAACCGGCACCGTAGATATTCGGTGCACCATAGACCGCTTTCACAAAGACGCGCAGAGGGAGAAAGACTTTTTTGTCGAAACCGAGTCCCGAGGAATCAATCTGCAGCATTGTTGGATGAGTCTAGTCAGTGTTTGTACCAAGTGATGGACCATATGAATCTGTGATACGGCTTGAGATGAATAGATGCTCTCAACACGACCATTGCGTATCTTACCGATGCCAACGACATACTAGTGTGATGGCCATGGGAAAAAGTTAAAGATTGATGAGACCGTGAACGGGGAGATTCTTTATCGATTGCACCGGCCGCGTGGCCTAATGGCTAAGGCGCTAGATTTCGGCTTCATCTTCTGAATACTCTAGAGATTCCAGGTTCGACTCCTGGCGTGGTCGCTTTACGATGACACTTTATTTTTGCCTGATGTACCAATCTAGGCTTATGACCAGTAGGATCACTGCTAAATACCAGACTGGTGTAGATCTCCATTTTTACAGCCTCCGTTTAAGACCTGTCATTTTTGCTAGGGCAGCCAGCTTATTGTATCACGACACATTAACCCTGTCACATAGCCAATCAATATGTCTGGTGGTAGGGTTTGTCAGTTTGACGTTGAGAGCAGTCGATGATTCGTGCAAGTTGACTCCGCCTGATTACGTGAGCCAAGTTAAGACACATGATTGGCGAGGACTATGATGCCCTGGTAGAAGAGAACGTCAGGGTAGCAGAACGACCATCCGTTGGAAGCAAATCGATGAAATTATTAAGTCAAGGGTTTAAATTATGCAGACCAGTATCTTTTAGGCTGTTTATATTCATACCCTAAGACTTGGCAGGCCAATATGTCTCTCTCTAGCTCAGCTAGCTTAGCCCAGTGATCGAAGTGTCCTTTGATAGCGCATCTCCGACATTGTAAGCTACTTTGTAGTGAAATATGTCTTGCTCATCCTAATTATTTTGGTTGTCATCATAATCATCATCTCCATCCTCTTCTGACCGTGCGATAATCTCAAGTAGCAGGGCTTCCGCCGCCTCTGGCCTGGTATCCTCTATGCCATCGTCCTCCTCATAACCTTCATTAAGAATGTCATGAGCATCCTCGCAGCAAATGTGCTCAATAATCCCTAGGATCTGGCTCCTCTTAGCGTAACGCCCGTATGTTCTCCAGTACTGTGCAGCTCGTTTCAAGTCCAAATGAATCTTCCAGCCGTATTTAATGCTAGCCTCATCGCGTCTCCACACCATGTGCAATATAGTATTGAGATACGTCCACCAAACATAACGTGATCGAGGCCGGTAATCGTTTTGAAAGACGAGCTTGCGTCCATCAAGGAACCTCCACTCTTTGTAAACATCAGATCCATAGTAGGCAAAAAGCTGACGAACTTGGGGACCCGAACCGTCAAGGACAATGACCCTGTAATCCTTGACGTTGAGCTTCTCCCACTCTGTAACCTGTATAGACTGAGACAAATTAGATATATCCCACCATGGTTGCGTGTCCTCGAGTTCCACGTCAGGAACAATGGCCATATATCCACAGTGAAGGGCTTTCTCGATGAGAGGATGTAGAAACAAACCGTTGCAGGGTGAGAATAATTCTTCGCGGGCATCTCTACCAAAGATGGAGTTCATAAAGTTTGCTTGTCGGCTTGGGAAGAGGTGTGACACCTTTATCTGACCTGAGTCTGGGCTGCGCCAGACGTGTAAAATCGGATCCCACAAATATCCTGGTGTTGGAGGGTCTGGGCAATATGCCTTGGCCATTTGGGCCTCGAAGGCGGTTTGAAGCGATGAAGTTTCTTTGTTCATGTTGATAGTGAGTCGAGTTGGAAGAGAAGCAAGGTTGTGATGACTGGGTGGTTTTGTGATGTGTTGATGTTGGTGGAGGGAAGAGGAAAAAAAGCTGGATAGAAGCAACGCATTTTATGCCCAGCTGAACCTTATACTAGGGCAGGGTAAGGCAAAAAAAAAAAAAAAAAGGTCCCGTGTAAGCATTGGAGTCATAATGCTCGAAAAAGTGAAATCGAAGGTGGAAACCTTATTGTCAGGTGATGACTGGATTTGAGGGACGAGGAAAAGGGCTTTATATATTATAGCAAGGTTGAAGTGGGTGGAGTCTTTTGCACGTTTGACTTTCCATCAATAAAGTTTATTTTGTTGGGGGTTTTACTGGCTTTATTTAGGAGCAAGATATATGACAATGTCAAGGCAAAATCACGGGGACTCTGTCAATAAACATTTTCTGTCTATAATGAGTAAATACATTCGCTTGTTTCTTTTTGTTACGGGCCGACCTTGGAATATTAAATTATAAAATTAAACAGGCTGAAAATCTGGCCTACATGTCATGAACCAACTTACTCATGCCTCTCGCAGCCAATGCTTCTGATGCCTTTCGAGTTAAATTGATTGCATCTCTGTAGCTAACCAAGCGCCACGTTTGACTGACTAATCACCTGACCCTCAGCGCCAATAAGCTGACGAGTCCGGGATGCACGGAATTAGTCTTTTAACCTTACATCCACCATGTCATGAACAATGAAACGCGTATAACACCTCAAAGTTATGCCCCGATTAATCGAGTCTATCAAAGATGGCATATGGGACACTTCAGCGCGCTGTCAGCGATGGCTCTATACACCTAACGGTCGGGGCGTCTTGAAATGCACTGTCGCCTACACCATTGCCAGTCTTGCGACATTTGTTCCATTTCTCGCAAACTTTCTCGGTAAACCAGAGGGCAAACATGTCGTCGCTACAATCACGGTTTATTTCCACCCTGCGAGGTCGACCGGGTCGATGATTGAGGCTATTCTCATCGCCATCGTCGCTGTGGCTTACGCTGAGATTATTTCGGTCCTGTCCATGGCCACTTCAGTCTTTTTCGGCTCCACGATGCATCTTGTGACCTTGTCGCATGTTCTGGTTGTTGTGGTATTCATCGGCGGCGGGTTTGGCTTTATGGGGTGGGTAAAACAAAGAATGCTGAATCCCCTCGTCAACGTTGGCACTACCCTTGCATCTTTGGCCATCATCGGTGTCGTCACCAAAGAGAATCATGTCATATCCAACGTCTTTTCCAACGAAAAGGTTCTCCAGGTCTTCAAGATGCTAGTCATGGGTATCACGACCACAACGCTGGTCAATTTATTTCTCTGGCGAACTTCGGCCCGGACATCGCTACGAGGAACAATGAATCGGGTATCTATTCCTCTAGGGGATATGCTGTACATGATCACCAACAGCTTCGTCAGTGGATCAGAAGAAGGCCTTGTGTCAGATGGCTTTGTAGCCGCGTCTACGCACTACGCAAAATCCTACGCACAAATGATGAAGGATATGCGAGAAGCTAAATTCGAGCACTACTTTCTTGGTCACGAAGCCATTTACGAGCATGAAAAGTCTGTTGCGCGATCTATGGAGACGTTATCCCAAGCTTTGGGCGGTCTAAGAAACGCAACCAATACCCAGCTCGAGCAGTTACGACATCCGAAGCTAATAAACTCCAATACCGACGGGACAAACACCACGAATACGGCACGAGAGCTATTCGAGCAGTTCAATGAGTCCATAGCGTTGTCTATGTCATCAGTGCGACAAAATCTCTGTCGAATTTTACACGAGCCACAATTTGGGCAGCCTCCCCACTACGAGATCAACGTTGATGAAGATCTACGTCGCAACTTGATGGACTCACTGGACACATTTGACGAAGCTCGCTCCGACGCTCTGCAGGGCCTTTACGATCGCATAGAACAAATGGCTTCCTCCGACTTTACAACACGCGCCAACCTTGAAGAAGTCGCCGCTGCATGTGGTCACTTTACATTCAGTGTCCAATCATTCGGAGAAGATGTGCTACAGTATCTCGACGTTTTGGACGATCTGCAGTACGTCGTCCTACACAAAAGCCGAGGCTGGAGATGGCTTCTTTGGTGGAAAGGGAATGAGCAAGACCGCAACAAAGCTATCAGATTATTCGAGTCAGCTGAAGCAGACGTATTGATGCGCAATAGACAACGATCAGTCAGTACTCTCAGTGGAACAAACACCTCAGCTACTGTCCCCATACTAGTGGATGTAAGGACATGGTATCAGGCACCTGATTTGAACAAGATCCTCGCTTGGGTCTGGAGAAATATTTCTGCGCTGTTCAAGAAAATGGCGCGAGATGATATCCAGTTCGGACTCAAAGTTGGCATCGGTGCAGCTCTCTGGGCTATGCTCGCGTTTCTAGAAGAGACGAGAGAATTGTACAAAGAATGGCGCGGTGAATGGGGACTTTTGTCTTTCATCATTGTGTGCAGTTTCACGGTCGGCGCTTCCAACACAGTGAGTCTAGCCAGATTCATAGGAACACTATTCGGAGCGCTGTTGTCCATCATCAACTGGAATATCAGCCACGGTTATGCCTTGGTCCTCATACCCCTGGGATGGTTGACGAGTTTCATAAACTTCTATCTGATCATTCAGTATGGGAAGGCTTCATTTGGCCGCATCAGTCTTCTTGCGTACAATGTCTCTACACTATACGCCTACAGGGTGAAGAGAAAGGCAGACGGCAACGACACAGCCGACGATGGTGTCTTTGATCAACCCGACATCCTTGAGATTGCCAAACGTCGCGCCATTGCTGTCACGGCAGGTATCATCTGGGGTCTTGTCATTTGTCGCGTCATATGGCCCATCTCGGCCAGACGAAAGTTCAAAGAGAGTCTCTCTGTGCTACATCTACAGATGGGTCTCATCTGGAAACGAGGTCCTCTTACTGTTCTTTTCCGCAGTGAGGGGTCTCAAAGCTACCTCAAGTCTGGCGAGCAAGCGGCTCTGCAACGATACGCATCCAACTTAGACAGTCTGCGTGTCTCTGCCGCGTCAGAATTTGAACTACGAGGGCCATTTCCGATGGACGTCTACGGTCGAGTGCTCAAAGGAACGATGCGTATCCTTGATGGCTTCTACAACATGAGTCTCGTGGCGTGTCGAAAGGGACACTTGACAGAAGGTGAAAAGGCTCTGCTGGAGTATACAGCTCGTGAACGCTCTATTCTCTGTGACCACATCTGCCAAGCCTTTCAGGTCGTTGCTAGCTCTACCATGCTAGAGTATCCTTTCGCAGACGCTACTCCAAGTATTGTGTCGGCACGCGAGAATCTACTAAGCAAGATCTTTGAGTTTAGAAAGAATCATCAAAGAAGGTTGGTCGATGATGATACAAGTGAGAGCAGTGGTTCAAGCCAGGTTCTGGTTGAAGAAAGGGATTATGCGCTGCTGTACGCTTATGCCCTTGTGACGGGACAGGTGGCTGATGAATTGAGGGTTGTGGGGAAGGAGATTGGTAGCCTTTTTGGTGTTTTGGATGAAGATACAAGGCTTTTACAATAGCAATATT